TATCTGTGGCAACAGGCACCTATAATTAGTTTTTCTTTACAGGACATTTCCATCTCTATTTTTATTACATTTAAATAGACATTAATTCTGGTTTGTTGAGATTTTAGCGTTTCCAGAAATAGTAGATTTTTGTGTGCATCCGTGATCGCACTCTCCATGTTTTTGTGTTCTTTAGCCTTAAAAACATGTTCTTGCATGACCTGGTGACAAAGTGTCTCTCTTAAAGGGTTAGTTCACCCAAAAATGAAAATTAGCCCATAAATTACTCACCCTCAAGTCATCCTAGGTGTATATGACTTTCTTCTTTCAGACGAATCCAGTCGAAGTTATATTAAAAATGGTCTTTGATCTTTCAAGCTGTTAAATGCCACTCAGCGGGTGTTGCATGCATCCGTCCAAAAGCAGTTAAATAAAATGCGCCCATCCATAAAAAATAGTGTCTCACACAGCTCCGGGGGGTGAACAAAGGCCTTCTGTAGCGAATCGATGCGTTTTTGTAAGAAAAATATCCATGTTCAAAACGTAATAATCACTTTAATGTAGCTTGCGCTCACTGTTGTACACTGGAAGCAGTTCCGGGGGAATGACGTATGAGGTCAGCGTTGCGCATGCGCCACTCAGAAGTGACGCACACGGAAGCGCAGGGGAGAGATCAAAACAAAACAAGAAGAAGAATGTCGGAGGATTTCAATATAAGCCAAGAGGAGACTGGTTTACCTTTGCTAAAGTAAGGAAACTTTGCTTCCTTTGCTCCTGTTAATAAACGTTGGTTTTCACCAGACTCACTGGCGCATGCGCAGCGCTGACCTCAGAGGCCATCCGCCCGGAACTGCTTCCATGTAGGACTGTTGGCGCAAGCTACTTTAAATTTATTATTTTTATTATTTTTTTTGTTTATGAATATGGATATTTTTCTTACAAAAACGCATCGATTTGCTACAGAAGGCCTTTGTTCACCCCCCGGAGCCGTGTGAGACACTTTTTTTTTTATGGATGGGTGCATTTTATTTAACTGCTTTTGGACGGATGCATGCAAGCTGAGTGCCATTAAATGGCTTGAAAGATCAAAGACAATTTTTTATTTAACTCCGACTGGATTTGTCTGAAAGTAGAAAGTCATATACACCTAGGATGACTTGAGGGTGAGTCATTTATGGGCTAATTTTCATTTTTGGGTGAACTAACCCTTTAATGCTTTTTCTATTGAGGTGAAGGTCTATCTGAGGTAAACCATCGTGCAGTGCAACTGTCACAAACAATATGCTGTCCGGAAACCATCTGAGTTGAGGGTTGAGTGGTTTGCTTGCTTTTTTTCCTGCCATTTAAATAATCAGGGATGAAAAAAAACAACACTGGAATATTCATTGCTTACCCAAGAGGGTGGAATATTGTGTCAAATAACGCTAGCAGAATTTATATTGTAAAAATGTATTTATGCAAAAAGCAATAAATTTGCAATTTATATGAAAAAAAAATCTGTTTTTGTTTTATTTTCCAATCTTTCACATTTCACTCTAGCACTAGTTGTGTGTGCTTGCTTTTCTCGTAAAATGGAAAAAAGCCTCCACATAAAATCATGATGTGCTGCAATTCGCAAAAACATAAAAATTAATAGAAACGTTTGTTTTGCAGTTTGTGGGTGAGCGCTTCTAAAGATCTCCGTTATGGCCTAAGGTTGCTGCGGTTCAGAATGCACTGTGCAGACGTGAGCGCGAGTGGCAGTCGATATGGAAGCATTTGCTATGATGCCTTTTTACTTGTCACCCCCAAGGCTAGTTTTCACGAAAGGGCAGCGAAACATGTAATCTTTCTGCAGAATAAAAAATTACACCCACGGCTCTCTGTGTGTCTGACAAAAATGACTCTTAAAGGCCTGTTCACACCAAGCACGATAACTATAAAGATAACGATAAAGATATAGTTCTAAAAATCGTTCTCAATATTAAAGAATAGCATAGTTTACACCACAACTATAACGATAACGATACAGAGGAACGATATCGTTGTGATCACTTTCAAAACGATTTTTTTCCAGCTGATGAACGATAAACACTGACAGCCAATCAGAATCCATCCTGCTGTAACGAGCTCGAGAATTTAAAGCGGCAAACGCATGTGCGCTTAGAATAAACAGACGATATCGTTCGCTGGCGTGGACGCTAATATCGTTATCTTTATAGTTACCATTCTTGGTGTGAACGGGGCTTAAGGCCCGTTCACACCAAGCACGATAACTATAAAGATAACGATAAAGATATAGTTCTAAAAATCATTCTCAATATTAAAGAATAGCAGAGTCCATACCACAACTGTAATATCATTATCTTTATAGTTATCGTTCTTGGTGTGAACGGGGCTTTAATTTGTCTTGATACTCAACAAAAAGAAAAAAAACTGGCAAACTACAAATACACTATACAAACTAATAATAACAGAGCCGCAATTCACAAAGGTGTAATAAAGTTCCAGTCCTGGGCTTCAATTAATGGAATTGCATTCCTTTGAATTAATGGAATTGCGCATGCCATCACAACCATATCAATCATTGATGATTATTATCGATATGGTTATGTATAATGACAAATATTCTGATGTTAGCATGCAAGTCTTTGTTGACAAATGTTTGAATTTATATAGGCTACAGGGCAATAGGAAATACTCAGGGTTACAGTAATAAAAACTTATCGAGGGGACAGAATTTTTTTAAATGATATGTTTAATTACATTTTTTTTAATAACATAGCCTTTTTTCCGATTATAAAAATGACAGAAAAAGAATATTTTAATTTAAAAAATAAATAAATAATAATAATAATAAAATATAAAGTGATGCTGTTGAAGGATTACAAAGAAAAAGCAAGTAACGCATTAAGCATTAAGTTTTGAAGTAGAAAGAAACCGTACTCCAGTAATCTTTGTTTTATTTACAACTTTGAGAAATCATTTTTGTCAATTTGACTTGCTTTGTATAAGATGACAAATCCATGGAACCAATTAAACCAACAGATGCTCTTGCAAGTTTTAGTGTGCAAATCCATCAAGGCAGTTAATGGGCCAGCTCAGTGTTTGGCCTTTTCCCCCTCGCTTAGTGCTTTCCATCTGTCTTTCTTTACCCACTGATCTGGTGATGACATTAGACCTGACTTCTTTGATGCAATCGTCTCCGTCGTCTCTTGCTTTGCGTCATGAACTCCACCATCACAAAACCAAACCAAACAAAGAGAGAGGGAGCACATTTTTTCAATCAACAATAGCCTAGAATCTGCCTCGTTTTGGCTTTGTGTTAGATATGGAGTTGGACAAGCTGAATGAAAACAGAGATAATGTGTGTTGCTTAGATACTGGCTAGAATGAGATAAAAATATCTGATGTTAGCCTTGGTCTGACTCCACATGAAGAGCTCCATGGAATATCGATAATACACTATTATAGTTTTGGTTAATGTTTAGATTTTAAATCTTAGTTAAAGTTTTAGCAATTTTGTTAAACTTTTGTAGTTTTTATTTGATTTTTATTTTAAATGTCAGTATAGTTTTTATTCATTAGTTTATTTTTAGTTTTTTGTGATTTTTAGTTAATTTCAGTACTCCAGGTCTTTAAAGATTTTTTATTTTTTTTTATTAATCTCTTTTTTCTTTAATTAGTTTTAGTAAACTAAAATAACTGGCATAGAACCAGTTATTTTATTTATTATTTCAGGCTGTTTATTTATTGATTTATTTTCCAAAGAGTCCATTTTTTTATTATAAAAATTCTAGCATTCCTAAAAGGGTTTTTTCAGAGTGATGCCATATAAGAACCATTTTGGGTTCCTTAAAGATCCTTTTTTCACTATAAAGAACATTTTGTGAACTTTATGGGTTTTCATGGAACCATAGATGCCAAGAATGAATATATATATATGTATATATATATTCAGTGTAATATGGAATCTCATGAAACTAAAGTGCACAAATATAGACAAGGAGTTTTGTCAACTCAAGAGCCCCTGGACATTGCAGAGTGTAGTTAATGTGATGTGTGAGTTCTGTAAAAACTGGGGTGATCTGTACTGGTTAATAGATGTGTGCCATGTACGTAAACTTAAGTCTCAGTTTAAGTTAAGTAAATTATTTAGTCATGTTGTTGCTGCTATAAAATAGTTCACATGCATTCTTTAGGTGTATTTTTGTCTCATGTTAAGAAACTATTTGAAACCACATTGGGGTCTTGTTAGCATGCAAGTTCACTGAAGTGTGGTCCGTATCTATAGGGACCAAAAATCAGAAAACATTACAAATTCAGGATTAAAAATCTAATTTTAACCGTGAAATTAAAAGTTGGAGATTTAGAAATGTTTTAAAGAACTATGGTGTAAAATGAATATGATTGATTCAAAGATTATTTTTAATTCAATTTTTCACTCATTTTATTATGCTGATAGTATAACTTGTAATGGAAGAATTATTACAAGAATGAAAGTAAGAAATTGGAATACAGAGTTTTCAGTAAAGCTCTTAGACCTTTGGACCCAATTATTCCATACAGGTGGGTTGAACCGCTGTTGATCTGATTTTGTTGTTTTGAGTAGTCTTTAATGAGATGATTATTTGCCAAAGGCTAGGAAACATAACTATATTAATCCATATATCCTTTTCCATCTGATAATGACACACATGCACACACAATATGTAGTGCTGTCTGCTTCTGTAAAAAAAAAAAAAAGGCAACAATGTAATAATGATTCAGTTATTTTGTACTTGCATTTTATAAAAAGTTTTGAGGTTGCAGTGACGCAGATATCCATTACATTTGTCAGTCTCAAAATTACCTCACTGTAATAAAACCATGATACATAATTCACCTATAAACATGCAAATTACAACAAAATAAGTGCAAACCACAGTTTTGCTGGACAAGATATAAAAATTTCCAAATCAAATTTAACAGTAAATTAGTTAGAGAACATACTGTAGCAGAACAAAGACATCTGTCAAAAAAAAGACCTAAATATCCAGCTTTAAGAAGACCTTTAGTTACACATACAGTATCAAATTATACCTTCATTTAAACTTTAAATGCATTACTCAAAATGTACGTAGTGTTTACCCACATAAATCTCGGCAGTCTGAAAACAGCAGTTTGTTTCACAAGCATTAATCACATGAACATTAATCACTCAAGGTCCATTGAGTGGGCAAAACAGTCCATGTCCAGATGTTTCCTCTCATCTATTTAATATTCATTGCAGTCTCCAGGTCTCACGTTACTTGAACCTTTACTTTTCTCATAAACTGCACTTTCCCCAACGGTAAACATTGAATCATAAATGTAATGTTTCTTCTACCGTCTTAAAACATCTTTGTTTCTGGAGGGCAATACGGATAGTTTCACATATTACCAATGCGCGCCTCCCATCTGACCATGAAACTTTTACGCACTAGAACGATCCCACGATGACCGCTTCGACATCCTTTGACGATCTTCTGTCCGTGACCAGAAAGTTGATCATGCCCTCGGACTTAATGAGCAAGTTGCAGCCTATAACGAAGATGCCGAAGACCACGGTGAGCGCCAGCACGCACATCACCGCGATCTGCACCGTGCGCATGATGAACACGCTGCGCTCGTCCAGCGCCGTGGACACAACCCCGCTGTCCGTCACCACTGAGGACAAATTACAGCACGAAAGAAAGCTCTCGCTGCTTCTGTTGGAAAACGAAACACTGTCTGAGTCGTTAAAAACCGTTGAATTCATTCTGAACTACTATCCGGGTTCCTTTGGAAGAGAGGAGCAGGTGCGTACAAAACAGCGGCTGAAGTTTCCTTAAGTGCTTTAAAGTCACAAGCGCAAAGAAGAGCTTGACAGAATGTATGGGCCGACATGCAGTAAAGAGGATGGTTCTTCTCGGACCTGTTGTTTAGGTAATTAGGGGCTCTGGTCTGCAGAGGACAGGGGTCTGACTCCTGAGAACTCACACAATCAAGGCTGAGCTCGTCCCCTGCGACTAGAGTTCAGTGTTTAGCGGCGCTCACTGAGGTATTCGTTCACATTGCGCCCCCTTTGACACAAACTGAAAACTATAGCGGCCGGAATAAACGTAGACTCGTTAACTGTTACAACCAAATTGCAAGGCACATAACATTTACTAGCATCTAACTAACCAGTATCTAGCCTAATTTGTATGCTATTATTGTAGGCTACCTATTTTTAATAGTCACTCACTAGTGATTTTATTAGAACCTTTTTGCTCATTCCAGTAGAGACTGTATTCAGTTATTCATTACATACATAGGCTACTAGCAGTTATTCTTTTGCTTCTAGTCAGTTTACTAGTAGTGACAAGCAACTATTCCATAAAATGCCAATTTTGCCATTGAGTTGTAAGTGTGATTCAGACATCACTTCTGGTTATAATGTATTCCAGTTGTAACTAGTAAATAACTATGATGTACTGTACTAGTATTCTTTCTTTTTTAACTTAACTATAAAGTAACCATTCTGACAAGTCATTACATATAACAAGTAAAAAAGCGATTAGTAACTATTAAGATTAACTATTAAGCCTGTTTAAGATATGTTGCTAGTAAAAATTGGGATATAAGTCTTGTAATGCCATCTCATAAATGTCCTAGTACTATAGTACTAGTAAAGTTGGAATATATGCTACTAGTTCCTGATAAGTAAGAGTATTACGCAGCTAACTTTGGCTAACGTTCCGGCAAGGTTCTCTCAAAGTAATGAACCAGTAATGTTAGTAGAAATCTTATTAAAACATGTTATCTGGTCTATAATGTTTTCAAAATGTTAGCACAGAAACATTATTTATACATCGTCTGAACATTTTTTTCCTGAAACGGTTTAGTTGGACATTTGTCTAACATTTTTTAAATGTTACTACTTAATTCAGAGCATTTAAAGAACATTCAAAAATAACATTCCCATAATTTTTGCAAAATGATCAAATGGAATGTTCCTTTTGCAGAGTCCAGCCCTGGGTCGTCACATGTGGTTGCCGCAAGCCCGCCGGCCGCTCCTTCATTGAATCCGCCGGCTGCGCGGTTCTCAAGCCTGCCGGCCGTTCCTCACTCTAGCCCGTTGGCCTCCACTCACTCAAAGCCGCCGGCCTCCACTCACTCAAGCCCTTCAAACGCGAGTTTTGAGTAGTGTAGAGTAGTGCTTGTTGTTTGTCATTTCTCTGATCACAAATGCAGACAGGGTTTTATGTTTATGTGGCGCGATGCAATGCGTAAAAAGACAGTATAAGTCATTATAATCCGTAATTATGTCCCCACTGGATGCAACAAATGCCTCGTTTATAATGGGTTTCAATGTTTTTGTCTCGTTGCTCCGGCCGGACAGGGCATCACAGTATGGTAGGGGCATAACATTTCCGTCACACACTTGAGGTTTTCGGCCAATCACAACGCACTGGATAGCTGGCCAATCAGAGCACACCTCGCTTTTCAGAAGATGAGCTTTGTAAAAATTTACGCGTTTCAGAAAGGCGGGGCATATAGGAGAAACAATAATGTACAGTATGTGGAGAATAATGTGTTTTTTGAACCTTAAACCACATAAATACATTTCATTACACCAAATACACAATGTTATTTTTAGCAACATCATATGACCCCTTTAACATTTGTATAACCAAGAAAAAAGAAATGTTTGTAAAACATTTAAAAAACTGGTACTTTTGATCACCCAAGAGATCATTCACCAATAACGTTTTTATAGCTTAATGGTAACATTAGCAAAACATTCTTAGAACATATTTTTGTTAACTGGGTAGTAGGCAATGAATAGTCACTAGTAACACTGGAATAGTTACCAGAATCAGTGGAACAGTATTGGGATAGTGATCTGCACCGTGATCACTTGTCAACCAAACAATCAATACTTAACTGGTGTAAAAAATTACAAAAAAACATCTAGTCAGTAATGGGTTACTTACCAATAATTAAAGTACCAGTGGCAAAAAATAGATACTAGTAAGTTTTAAGGAATAAATATTACAATGGCTTACAGAAGTTTGGAAAACTAATTGCATTGGTTAGATGAATTAGTCCTATTTTCTTTTGCTTTGAAGTATTACATATTATGTCCACTATTTATAAATGTGTGTTTTGCACAAGATAACTAAAGGCTAATTAGTCTAAACATGAATTGAGTATCATCTGTGATGAGGTGGTCTGCAGACACACATGCAGCAGAGGGCAGAGTTGCTCCTAAAATATCTTTTCTTTACTGTCATGGACGTATAATGCAGAAAATAGAGTTTTAATTACAGCCACGTTGATTATTCAAGATCCAGTTCACATATTTTAATAAAACAATCAACCTAAAAAATCCGACACGGTCAAAGTTGAAGCACATACTTAGTCACCGTGCTGTGGCTCACAGTTGGGTTTAACTTGAAGATGGAAATCCATAATTAATGAAACCATATAAACCCTCAGGAATGAGCAATGTCCTTGTAAAAATATGGATAGGGAACAGCAGGATTACCATGGAAATATATGGGTGCAATATAACCATTAGAAGCCACCGATGGGTTGTGCAACGTGGCAGTTATAGATAATCTTTTTAATATGCTATTGTTTACACAGAGTCTCAGGTGAAAATCTGTGCTCCCCTATAGCAATTGACTGTACTTGCACAATATATGCTCCATGTGCTCCTTTAACTACTGGTTATAGTATTTATATTGCTTTGAGATCACATCTTAGTCATGTTTTATTTTATGCTTTTTCAGGGTTAAATGTGTCTTGAACAAGCACTTAACAGCATCAAAGCTTTTAGATATCAGGCATATAATAAGTCCTAAAAGCCCCTTTTGTGAAGCATTCAGTAGTGGGAAGAAGAATTGATCATGGAGGGTGCTTAGATCCTCTCAAACCTGGCCTTTTAATCAACAGCCCGGTAAACAGGATCTGCACAATGTAAACACATCCCACAATGCACCTCCTGGAGTGAGTCCATCAACAAGGGTCTTTTGAGCAGCACTGGGGGGTCTTCTCTCGTGAAGCCTATTTTACATGTCTTCTCTGTCCCGTATCACCCTCTCTATGTGTATATGAATCATCAGACCTATCCAGTAGAGAGAGAGAGAGAGAGAGAGAGAGATGTGCTCTCAGGACATAGTGCTATTCCTGTCTGGGTGTTTCTGTGCACATTGAAATGCGCTCTCTTTCAATGATTTCACTGAGTGCTTGCTTTTCTCCCTCAGTGGTGGAGGGCGGTGGAGGCAAAGAGGGAAAGAGAGAGAGAAAGGAGGAAGAAGAAGAGTGGGTGGTTATGGGTAGAACAGGCTACAGATGGAAGAGTACAAAAATTTGTCATATGGAGAGATTCAGGAGAGATAGAAACAAGGCAAAAGAAGCATCTGAAATGATTGTGGGGAGAAAAACAGAAACATTTTTAAGTATTTTAATAGAAGCTGAACCTTATGATGATGTTGATCAGATAGAAGTTAAAATCTGTTAAAATTACCTATGATACAATAACATTTATATTTGTGCGTTAATGTAATGCAATCTCCTTATATTCTAAATAAAACTGCCTCCATTTTCTTAAAAGCTCTGCATATTTTAAAGTGCACTCTTAAAAATTAAAGGGGTTCACCAAAAATCCTTTCAGGTCTTAAAATAACCATTTTTAATCATTTTAAAAATCTAAAGAACCTTTTTCCACTATAAAGAACCTTCTGTGCAATGGAAAGGTAGAGATAATAAAGGTTCTTTATGGAACCATCAATGGCAATAAGGAACTTTTATTTGTGTGTCTTGCATTTTAACTACATGATTACTAGGCAGGTCATGTGTATTTTCTGTATAAACATTTTTTGTCAAACAAGACTGGGATATTTTGTAACATGATGTGTCTTTAGTTATATAACAGAATGCATGTTGCTTACCAAATAGCTCAGAGCAGTTCTGCTAAAACATGATCTAAAAGCAAAAATGTGTGATATGCTTGGGATTTATTGGCTGGTTGATATTTATTTGTTGGTACAGTCTTCTTTCTAAGCTCTGGGGACAAGAATGTTGAATGTCAGGGCTTTTAAAGGCATCACTCTGATGAACTCTGCCATCTAGTGATTATCACATGAGAGGAATAGGAGTAACTGATTGGACCTTCTCAACCTGTCATTAGCTTCCCACTGTGCCGATGAATTTATTTAGTAAACAAATGGGCAGACTTTCTTTTCCAGAGTCAGAGAGGGGGTTTTTAGTTACAGCGCCAGTGGTGGTAAAATCATCTTGCATTATTCCAATCGTTATGTGTCATTCTCACCAGTGACATCATTAGAAGCTGCATGGACACATTTCATCACATTTCATTATGCTCCGTCAGTCCTCCTCCAGCGGTATAATTATTTCTTTAAGTCATTAAGGCTTTCTGGAGAAGACAGGGCAAGAGTCTTGAGGAAAACCTCAGCTGGCATGAAGCAGTTGCGCTAAGCTAACAGTCACGATGTGCTTTTGCAGCATTCAGACAAGTGCATGTTGTGTCTGATGCTTGGTCTAATAAGCATGCTGTTGGTGTTTGCATGTGTATGGGATTGTCCTTGGTGCAGACACCCTTAAGCTTGTTCTACACTAACCCGATACTTCACAACAAACAGAGCATCCTAATGGTGCACTTGGATTTGAATGCTTCCAAAAACAACAACAAAATAGCCTAAACTAGCAGGTTCAGCAAAAGGACTTAAAATAGCCACATCCTGTATTTGTGTTTGCTTTCAAAAGAGCTCACTGTGCATGTATAAATGTGCATACTGTGTAATGGGAATAGAAAGATCAGAACTGAGAATGGGAGAGACATACCATTGCACAAGATGCTCTTTACAGTGGAAGAAGTTTCAAGATTATTAAAATGTTATTCACGCTAAGAAACAAAAATGTTCTTTTAAGAACTGTTCAGTGAAAGGTTCTTTGGAAAACCCAAAAGCATTTTTCTATCTACCCTCTTAAAAATAAAGGTTCTTTATTGGCATTGATGGTTTCCTGAAGAACCTTTAAAAT